CGGTGGTCGCCGGATCGGGACACTGTAAGACTAGAGATACAAAATGAAAACTCCAGCCAGGAACTGTGGCACAGGCCTATAATCCCAGCAACTCAAGAGGCTGAGGCAGGCGGATCACAAGTTCAATACCAGCCTCAGCAAGTTAGCAAGCCCCTTAGCAACTTAGGGAGACCCTGTCTCAAAATAAAAAAAGAAAAAGAATTGCAGATGTGGCTCAGGGAAAAAGTGCTCCTGGGTTCAAACCTTGATACAATAAAATAAAATAAAAACTTTTGAGTTCAAAAACACTCATGAAGTTTTATTTACTTTGTCAAAATCTTTGCTTCTTCAAACATTTCTAGCAGAAAAGTTTACAAACAATAACACCAGGTCCAGGCCAATAAAAAATAGGATCCAAAACTATACTAGGTAATTGCACCCAGATTAGTGTAAACCAAATAAATGCATTTATTATTTGCAATGTAATCCAATATACTAAGAGATGGCATGTACTTTATTTTAATTAGCTGTTTCTTTTAAAGGGTTGCTTGCTCCAACTGTCTTGATAAGAAAAAAATTGTAGTCATTGCTCAAAATGCTTGTAGCAAATCTAGTTTTAAATTGAAGCAATTTATTCCGAAAGTAGTCTACCACTGCAGCAATAATCAATGTGTTTTCCCTTAGCCTATACTGGAGCTTTCCAAGGACTATTGTTAATTGCCTGTAACTAAATGACTGCTGGTGCCCTTAAATGTAACTCTTTGGCACTTGTTCATTTGTTGTGTTTAACCAAATGCCAGTTTCCCTTAGGTTTTGCCTAGTGATTTTGCTTTACAATTTTCAATATTCAGTCTCAGTCCCTTAAAGTGGGTACAGTCTATCATTTTAACAAAATAACACAAAGGCTAAACAGATTTTAAAAGGTCTGCACTTTCTCTTTCCATCCTCAGATGTTGAATTGTGCTGAAATGGAATCTTTTTATTTTTTAAATGCTGCCACTCCAGGCAACTTGAACTAGAGCTGAAAAACAGATCCCATTTCAAAGGGAAAATGACATTTGCTGGGGCAACACTATTCACATGCACATTGTAATGTAAAGATAAAATGTAGCATTGGGCACAAATAATTTCTCTTAACTGTGACAGAATTTAACCCCTAATAATTTTGTCCTGACCTAAGGATAAATAATAATATTTTGTACTCTTATTAATGAATGTATCCAGCTTGGAGCAGAAGAATGTGGAGACCAAATCTAATGCACCACTTTCCTTGTGAGAGTCAACACTTAACACAAACTGTATAAGTCAATGTTACTAACTTAAATCAAATGGAAAATGTGTTAACCTGCACACATTTATAATATGTGTACATGCATACTATACTCACATAAAAATATGAAATAACTGAGGAGCAGGCACTGTTGTATGCACTGTGGGAAATGACAAAGTTTCCTTCCTGACCTTTTTATAAAGATAGTAGATGAATACCATGTTTCTGTATGGGGTGGGAGTAGGGAATCTGAGATTCTCTAATGATCTCAGATAAGTCCTTTTAAATGCTTTTTCTTTGTACCAGTTTTTAGAATTCCTATTATTAGTAAATTACTATCTGTGGCTCAGAAGGGTTATTTTTGCTTATTGCTCATTCTCTAAGTAACACAGGACTGTTTTTGTAATTGCTAAGCTACAGCAACCTTGTTCTCTTATTACATTTCTGGCAATATTATTGATTGGCTAAATAAATAGAATATTTAAGGTAGTAGGTATAATTTTTTGAATGGCTGATGACAGCTAGCAAAATTGGAATAGCTCATGTATGAGAAATTCTATAAAAATAAGGACTTACATTCATACTTTTTTCTCTAATTTACACATATTCAATTTCTAAAAATTAAAAAAAAGTGTGTGGAGACCATTATTATGAACTCCATCTGAAGAAAATGAGAGTTCTGTTTATTGGGTTGTTAGGATTATGTTTGGGGCATAGTTTTTGATTGTCTCCAAAGCTATTTAACTAGATATGGGCACTTAAGGCATACTTCATACTCAGGCCTCGTTCCACACCTCCAGATGCAAAGGGTATGCTTAGGGGCACTACAGAGGAATCATTCTCTGCCTAGGCAATTATCTACAGCACAGCAGCTGTTCTGATTCCATTCTTTCTTGTGAGTTTCTCCCCACATAGACTTTGGGTCAGAACTTACAATGAGTTTTTATTTTAAAAATGAAAATACTAAGAATTGAAGTATGATTTTTTTAAAAAGAGATAAAATTCATAGATCAGCTCAATGAGTTGTGATAAATGCATAAAATTGTGTATCCACATGCAAAAAGGATACAGAATATTTCCTTTACCCAAAAAGTTTCCTCTTACCTCTTTCTAATAAATTTTCCCTTCACTCATCCTCAAACCATTAGATTCTGATTTATATCACCATGGATTATATTGTTATGTTCTTGAACTTGAAGTAAAATCATACAGTGGACATCACTTTGTATCTGTATTCCTTCACCAAACAATTTTGTGAGATTCATGCATGTTGTGCATATCTGTACTTTACTCTGAGTATATTTTCTCCCATGGACATACAATAGTTTATGTATCATCTCCTGTTAGTGGACTTTTGGAATGTTTTTGGTTGTGGCTACAATGACTAAAACTATTCTGATCATTCTTGTACAAGTCTTGCAGAAATTTACTTATATTTCTCTTGGGTTAATTCCATTGAGTGAAATTGATATGCATAGAGTAGATTCATATTTTGCTAGAAACTTACCCCAAATATTCCAATGTAATAATACTATTGTGTATTCTCACTAGCAGTTTTTTGGGTGAAATTAAGAGTTCTTGATTATTTTTCTACTTTTATGCAAGTAATTTTAGAGTTTTTAATTGTGTTTAATATAGTAAATTAGAAAACAGAATGAATCTTAAAAAAAAAAAGCTATAGTGTGGGCTGGGGGTATAACTCAGTGGTAAAGCAGTTGTCTAGCATGCAGGAGGCCCTGGGGTTGATCCCTAGCATTGCAAAGAAAGAAAAAGACACAGTCTAAATGCTTATCTCTTCCATAATATCCAATGTATTTAAATCAGATTTTTCTGGCATATAAGCCACCCTCTGGGTGTAAGTTCCAGTTTTATACAGGCTTCTGTGTATGGTAGAGTTTAACTCATATCCTAAGAGAGCCAGTTCACTCCACAGTATTATCTACCCACTTATCCTTTCTGTTCACATCACAGGAGGGAAACATCATTTGAAAGAGTGTTTTGTATTTCGTTCCTGGTACCTTTGCAGTAGGATCTTGTGTGTTCTTCACAAGGGTCAACAGATAAAGCTGCTAGAGTTACCTCATTCTTACACACTTTATATTGATTTACTTAGACTCTTAAAATATTTAATTCCTCACTTTACTGTTTAATTCATAAAGTCCAGCCTTTTAATAAAATACTTTCTTCTAACTCCCATTTAATTTTTCTAAATAGAGAAAAATACACTCAATTAAACAGTAATTATATGCATTTACTTTATTAAACTGTTTAATTAGGAATAAAGGCCAAAATGATAAGAAATATGGCTAAGTTTTTTCTGTAATTGTAATAGGAAAAGTGCTATCACATGTAAACACACATATACAATGTTCTTATGAGAATATGATGTGCACACTTTTAAAACTAGTTTTCACTGATGTTACTCTAATGTTCCAATCATGATTTCATCCCATTTGTAAGAGCTCAGGAGTGATCTTGTAACCTAAGAATACATGTTAGCATAGATTCAGTTTTCAGGCTAAGCTTATGTTGACTATTGTGATGAAATTACATAACTCATCCAATGATGGTTTCTCTCGGAATCTAAAATATCATTATTTTAATGCTTTCATTTCAGAAATATTAGTACTTAATGGCAGTTAAAGAAACTAATAGTTTTTGAGGTAATAGTCAGCCTCAGGAAAGAATAGCTACCCCTCAGTAATAATATTTGGAATAGAATGATCAAGGACAACATGCATACACACTTAGGTAATGTGATTTCAACGTATGTGTATGGTGACTTACAAGTAATCTTAATTTTGTTATAATGTTCATAAATGCTAAAGGAGAAAAAAGAAAATTTTACCCCCTAATTTTTCTGATAAGTATTTATGTAATACACACAATTGATATATAAGATGTCAAGAAAACCCCCCTTTTTGGATAGAATGTAGTAACATCCCTGGTATAATGGGAAGCAAAGAAATAGAAAAAATTAAGCTTACTGAAAGGAAAATATTAACAATATATTTTGCTTTGGTATCCACTAGGGAGCCTACTTCTTAAATACAAGTAAGCATTCAGCCTCCAAGATTATGGTCCACCTCCAAGACACCCATCTAGAAAGATGTAGTTGGGAAGTCATTGCTCCTGGCAGAAGTCAGCAAGTAGCATTGATTAGGCAGTCCTCTGGACACTGTATGCAATAGTCAACAGTGCCTTCCAGGCACTGACACCTCACTTTCCTATGGTTCCAACTCCCAAGTGAGAGAGATCAAGATTCATATTTGGTGAGTGCAGAAACCACCCAGGCTTAAAAGCTTCACATCCACAGGAACCAATATTGCTCTTATCATCTCCAAAAGCATAGTTTATAGGATCTCCAAAGAGATATGTTTATATATAAAATTTACTGCACTCAGGCAATCCCAATATTATAGTTTTCAATCAGATAGTTATATTGTTCTCAGTCCAAATGCAATCAACCAAACAAGGTTCATTTTTACCATAAGCAATGTTACTTAGCAACACAGTTACCACATACCACCTTATCCAGTTACCAAGGAAACGTAGCTTAAAGTTATGGAGAGGTCAAATTCTCATGCAAAAAAGGAAAAGATAATGGTAACCCATAACCCACATCAAGTCTCATCCAGAAAAATGTGAAATTAAATTGAATTCATGATTTTCAGGATGTGAAAATTGTATCATTCTCTATTGCTATTTTTTCCAGAGCTAATGTACACAGTTGAACTTGCTGGAGGGCTTGGTGCTATTCTCCTGCTGCTTGTTTGTTTGGTGACCATCTATAAGTGTTACAAGATAGAAATCATGCTCTTCTACAGGAATCATTTTGGAGCTGAGGAGCTGGATGGAGGTAAGATGAGTTTCCCCTTTTATTGTTGTTTCTGAATATTTTTATTATTTTTCCCTGCCTTTATTTTATTGAAGGGAAAGAAAAGTTACTTGCAAAATCACTGGCAGCAGGTCTTATAATCTTTCCATGTTCAGTTGTAAGTTCATAATTTGTACTGAAATATGTGTATGATACATTGGAGCCAATAGGTATTTTCCTCTGAAAGTTGTAAAGCAACACCTACCCTTTTTAGAATTGTATTCTAAACAGCACTTACAAATTACAAACACTGATTGCAATGCCATCAGAGTGTTCATTTTCTCTCACCTTGTAATCAGTACTGAAAGGCCAGCTTTACTTTTCTATAGGTAAGGAGTGTCTCTTTTAATTGTGTTCCCTAGCCTAGGAGTTTGAAGTGAATCTTAATTTGTTCCTGTTAAAATGATCAGTATAATAAACTGTACTCAATCTTTTAGCATTCATCCAGCAGTCTTTTCAATCTTGTTTATTTTGCTGTATTTAGATAGGCTAATTTTTATTCTGAGTGTGGACCAACAGATAAAAAAGTGCACAAGCACATTGTTTTCATAATAACACATCTAACATTTTTATTCAATTGAAGATATAAATATTGTTTTGTGGAAATCATAATTATTCTTTGGTTTTGGTCAGCCAGGTATATGTGTACATTCTGTTAGAAATATCAAAGTACCACAAGAAATCAAACACATGCTCAAAAGTGGGTAGGCAAGGTGATCTATATTTCTGCCAGAGGGCATGCCACCAGAACCAGGCTAGCAAGCAAGCAAGAGTACCTGGGTGTTGGGCTGGGGATGTGACTCAAGCGGTAGCGCACTCGCCTGGCATGCATGCGGCCGGGGTTCAATCCTCAGCACCACATACAAACAAAGATGTTGTGTCCACCGAAAACTAAAAAAATAAATATTAAAATTCATTCTCTCTCTCTCTCTCTCTCTCTCTCTCTCTCTCTCTCTCTCTCTCTCTCTCTCTCTCTCTCCCCCCTCTCTCTTAAAAAAAAAAGAGTACCTGGGTGGGCAGTCCACCTGCATATACCCCTAATGCAGTGCTGTCCCTCACCCTGACAGTGCTGTCTCTCATCCTGATTGGAGGAGCTCAGGGGTATAATCTATGAGACTGGCTAATTTTAAAATTAGGGCAGGCAAAAGGAAGGCCTATAATCAAAATGGTTACAATTGGATCCAATTGAGGCTATATTCTGAAAATTGACCACTGGACTTTCTATTTCTCAAAATTCAAAAGAAGAATTTGGGGCTCTTACAGTTGAACTCCCTAAACCACTCATTAGAGAAATTAAGCAGTCTTTTCCCCCCTTCTTTTGTATCATTTGAAAAACATAAGATAAACATGCACTATAGGAAGCATATACCAGTTGGAAACGAATAGTGCAAATTATAAAGCTTTTTCTATCATATTTATAAACTTTTTTCACTGTCAATTTTGCATTAAAAAGTACAAAGTAAAAATTAAGCAATTTCCCTTGTTGCCACCTGTGCAGGGCCCTCTGGAAGAAATCCATAGGCAGAACAGGAGGTTGTCAGTTTTATAAAGGGAGCAAACTATAGTTCTCCCTTTCCCATTAGGATGAAGTCTGGGCTGAAGCAAAACTGTGGTTTTGTTTGTTTTAAGTGATGGCTTGCCTAGTTGTTCCCTGTTTCTAACTGTCTTGGCTATTCACATAGATTATTAGTTTTCTTTGCTACTGCTTCAAAGAGATGTGAGAAAATTGTCAATGTCAGAGCTATTGTTGGATGAGCATACCAAGCAGGGTGTTAGACATTCTTCAAATCATCCTTGCTAAGCCTCACATAAATTCTAAGGTCAATATTATAATCTCCATTTTACTGATAAGGCAACTGAGTCTTCCAGAGGTTAAATAACTTACTTAAGATGATAATACAAGTATTACTGTAAGTGGCCAGGGTGGGATTTGAAAATAAGTCTGTTTTCAAATCCTTTATTTTATTGAATACTGAATCCCCATCTTATTTTTTTTTTCTTTTCAAATTTGGTGTGTTCGGCATCATCTAAAGATCTCTTGTCATTTGAACAATTTGGACAATAGAAGATATTGGGAAAAAAGCAGATTTTGTAGACAAGTTTTACTTTGTCTACTAACCCTATTTTGAATATGTTTGTGTTCCCAATGATTACCCAATTAATTAATTTTCGATGTAGCTTTTATATATCATTTTCTGAATGTAGAAAATAATGGAATAAAATAAAAATTATGAATTATATACAGTTGAACTTTCAGTAATTTGAACATTCCTCTGGGGATCCTGCTTATTAGATTTCACTGCTATTCTGAAGCTGTTGAGTTCTCAGACTTTCTTGTGTTTTAAACAAAAAAAAAATATAGCAAGGATACATTAACAAATAATATTCTAGTAGATGAGAAGGATCTCCCAGAAAGCTAATTTTGCTAATAAATGCCTTAGAATTTGTTAGAACCTTCTCCCTAGGGTCATGTTGAATGCACTATCAGGGATCTAACTAGAAGGGTTTTCCTTGACATGCTACTGTGAATGCACTAGACTCAAAGAAAACTAATATAATTAAATTAATTATCATCTAGATAAGATTAATGCACAAATAATCCACTTAAAAGGAAGGGGGAAGCAAAGAGTGTCAAGGCAGTGCTTGTTCATTTTTTTTTCTTTTTTTGGACCAGGGATTGAACCCAAGAGTACTTAACCATTGAGCTACATGCCTAGCCCATATATATATATATATATATATATATATATATATATATATAAATGTCTTTTTTTTGAGACAGGGTCCCATTAAGTTGTTTAGCCCCTGGATAAGTTGTGCTCCTCCTGCCTTAGCCTCCTGAGTTGTTGGGATTACAGGTGTACACCACCACACTCACCTTCAAATGTCTTTTAGAGGAGGAAGTCTTACTACAAGTGCAATGATATGAGCACCCTCCTTGTATTAAAAGTAGACATTCTCCAGCTGAAATGAACAGAACCTCATTCTTAACTCTATCCTGCTGCATCTCATCTGACCTGTAGAACTTTCAGAAACATTGTTCCTTCAGAACCATAATACAATAATAACCATAATGTGTAAGTTCAAAATCTACATCTTAACAAAAGTCAGGCATACATAAATTTCATATTTCTAGAGTTCAGGATATAGTTCAGTCGGTAAATTGCTTGCCTCACTTGCACAAGGTCCTGGGTTCAATGTCCAGCACCACATACACACACACACACACACACACACACACAAAATCACATTTCTCTAATTCTTTAGTCATCTAAATGTATCCAACTTGGCTCTCAAATTCTCATTTCCAGCAATAGCAAAATAAATAAACAAACAAATAAAATCTTATCACCTTGCAACCCCAAGATAACTGTCAGTTCTGATTTAGAATTCAGCTTCTTATGTGTTAACATTGAGTTTTAAATTGAGATTTTCCATTTCCCTTCTCCTTCCCTTTTCCCTCAAGAAACCCATTTCTAGGGAACTCACATACAGCTTTCTGGTAAAGGGGAAAGGCCTCTGGTGCCTACACCATCTGTCTTATTTGAGATACTCCCACCAGTTCTTTGGACTGAGCCCTGGTTACTCAAGACCAAAATCTTTGCTGTAGTTTCCAGACACAAGCTTCACACACTTGTTCAGACTTTATTCCATTGGAAATTTCAGACATGCTTACATGTATTTCTAGCACCATAAACTCTGCTACATTGCAAACCCATATCCCTGTTTAAAAAAAAAAAAATCATCCCCTTAGGCATAGCCTCATTAACATGCAGATCCCATGTTGTGTGCAGAATTTCTCTAAAAAGTAGTTTCCCAAGACAATCCCTGGGGAAAAGATCACAAATCCTTTCTATTTACAGATTCTGCCTCAGACTATAGGATATTCTATTAGCGCCTTGCCCTCCCTGGGACCTTGAGTCCTTCTCAGAAACCCAGGCAACCTCTATACCTTAATCACATCCCTTTATATCCTTCTACACATACTATTATGATTTAATAATGGCATATGCTTCCAGTGGTGGAAAGCTTCTCTGACATCATCAAATCCACATGGTTCCTAGCTCTCCTACAAGTCTTTTTCTCTTCCAAAGAGGGGAGAACTATTAAGAAGAACAGACTGTTCAGATTATTGTCTCACTTTTTAAATATGTAATTCAGAGGTCAAAGCTTTTTATTCTTGGCCATTCTATCAGTTTTACCTCTCCTGAAAGGGGAATTTCATAAAATTTTCTTGGAAGTAACGAAAAGCAAAGGGTATGAAGAAGAACAAGGAAACAAAGTTTAGCTAATAGGAAGCTGGGGTGTAGCTCTGTGTCGGCAGAGCACTTTTGTAGGTAACACAAGGTTCTTGGGACAATCCCCAGAACCAGACACACACACACACACACACACACACACACGTGTGTACACACGCATACAAACTTTAGCTAATAATTTGAAGTGATGGCCTAATGCAGTGATTGATTATAATAACAGATCCATTGAATATTTATTGAATAACAAATGTTATGTTTATCATTAATAATCATACAACTAGAAATGACTCTTATTCCCAAGAATTGCTGCCATTGTTTCAGATGGAAAATGGAGTATTTGGTATTTGGGGCACATTCAGTCAGTTGCTATCAAGTTGTTCTAATGAGTGTTAATTGATTATATCAGTTCTGTATCAGAAAGATTTTGATATAGAAGAATTCTGACATGTTTCTGAGATAGAATATACTTTAATTTCTTGGTTTATTCACATATCTGCTTGCTCCTCCTCTATATAACCTTACATTTTATTGTTTCCCCTGGGTTCAGGCCTTACCAATTCTCTTCTAACGTGACAACACTCAACTTTTTGGATCACATTATCATTCTATCTTTTTTAAATATTTATTTTTAGTTATATGTGGACACAATAACTTTATTTTATGTGGTGCTAAGGATAGAACCCAGTGCCTCATGCACGCCAGGCAAGCGCTTTGCCTCTGAGC